TAGGATATAAATATAAATGATTAAATTATTACAAAACATATTAATTTTTAGCCTACATGAATTTTAAAACCACAGTCTTCATACTTTCTTCATCTCGGGAGGCTTTTTCAGGTCATTTAATTTGCTTTTGTATAATGTTGTTATTATTAGTAATATTATTTATTATATCCATGTTTATATTTGTTTGATTAAAAACAAGCTTAGATTTGTCCACCTGTCAGGTTTTAGACCATATGGGGCACAGCAGGTGTATTTGGAAAAAACTCAGTTTTTTGAACACACTTGATTATCAATGTTAAAATTATTTGTTTGCTGGAAATTAGAACTGAGTTATTAAACTGAGTTATAGAGTTTTAAAACAAATTTTTGCGCTTAACAAACAAAATTAATTATTTATAGGCTAATTGATGTCTGAGCGTAAAGGTTTCCCTATCCACGAGAGCAAAATCGAAAGTGAACTTACTTTACGTCATGTAAATAGCAAATGCAAATGCGCTCATGACGCGACGCAACTGGCTCTTAAAGGTAATGGGAGATGAGTCGCTGATTGGTTTATTCTCAAAACACACCTATAACTCATTAACAAAATAAACTCAACCCTTTTAGACCATGCGCCATGGCGCAAAACGGATTTTCCCGTCCTTAAATTAGAAAGTATGGATTCTGACACGCCCTCAAATATTTTATTGAGTTCCACTTTAACTTCTTTGATATTATTAAAAATATCTGGATATTTACCATATTTAGTCTCTAAATCTTCAAGTTGTATATTTAGATTATTTATGTAATTCCATTTTTTTTTCTTGATCACCACATAATAAGTTTACCTCGCATAACAGCTTTAGCTGCGTCCCATCGATACTAGGTGACACCTCTGCATTATTATTATTATGTTTTAAATATTCTAATAGTTCTTTTTTAACATATTCTACACACGTTAAATCATTCAAATGATTACGTTTAAATCGCCAAAATGTCTTACTTGGTTTATTGTCCAGGTACACTCTTAAACATACTCCTGCATGGTCTGAGATGTCCCTTGTTCCAATTTTACAGTCTTTTATTTTATGTTGATCTGACCCAAACATAAAAAAAAAAAACAATTCTAGAATGAGACATGTGGGCAGAAGAGAAAAATGTATATTCTTTTTTTAAGAGGGTATATGTCTCTTCATACATCTATCGAGCCTAATTATTTCATCAAATATCTTATTTGTCTAGTTTCTTGACTAATTTGCTTATTAGAAGATGAGTCCAATTTAGGCTGAAGTTGTACATTCCAGTCTCCCTCACAGATCAACGTACCTGATGTCTCCTTGGCTATAACACTTACTATTTTTTGGAGAAATGCTTTGTCTTTTTCAGGTGGTCTATATATACTAACTAATGTAACTTTGTATTGGTCGATAGTTTCTTTAATTAGGTTATATCGTCCTTCTTTATCAGTAATCTTAGAAATTAATTGGAAGTTGATTTTATTTGAGATCAATGTCATTACTCCTCGTTTACGACCATTATTATATGAGGAAAAGAAAACCCTAAATACCATTGTTTCTGATTTCCTATGTTCTGTATCAGAAAGATGTGTCTCTTGCCAAAAGATTATCTGTTGGTTTTCTCTTTTAATTTTAGCCACAAGTTTGCTTCTTTTAATCGGATTTAGTAACCCATTAATATTCAAAGTAATTACTCTATATTTGTTTTTGCATAATCAGATGTTTTTGCGAAGATCACTGTGAGCGGAACATGAAAAACACAAACATGAATATCTTGAACCACATAAAAAAACATTAAGAAAAAGATCTCCAAACCTTGAAGTCTTAAATAACTTCTTAACGTGAGGGGAAAGCCTTCCTACTCTAAAAAGCCCTTCCTTGCTGTGCCTATTGTTATTTAAATATGGTTTAGGTTATCATATATGATGTACACAGGAGGATTAATACCAGTGTGTATAGGAGCTCTCTTTCTCAGCTTCTTAAGCTGCCCCGAATGAGTGAAACTCTAGGGTTGGGTATCATTTGGTTTTTCGATACCGGTGCTAAATTGATACTTTTAAAACAATACCGGTGCCAAAACGGTGCCTGAATCGAATCTTTTTAGCCACAAAATGATGGTGGACGACTCTTCAAAAATATTTTATTTGACAAATGATTTTTTTCAAAATAATTTTAATAGAACATTATAATTACAGTTTAAAGTAAACATCAGTTAATATTGTATTACATTAATACATTTCATTTGATCATTTGTTGGTTAGCATGAATTTAAGATTTGCATTATGAAATTACATTAGCTTACTATTAACCTGTGGGGGGCGGGCAGGGGCCACATACTTTTAGGAGCACATTTTAACATATATATCACAAAATACTTAAAACATTATTGGAAGTCATTTGTTTTCATCCATCACTCTGCAGTCTTCATAAACAAGATAATTAAATAACTTAAACTCAAAATAATCTTCCTTGTTCATTTATTTGACAAGTAACATTGTACTGGTGTAGGAGAACACATTTCTAACACTCAAGTACATCAAGGCACATTGCTGCAACTGTAAACTTTAACAGGCCTACAGTTGAAGTCATTTTATTTTGCCCTCCCATTCATTTAAAATAATGTTTCTGAAATATTTACAGTGTTTCCTAAAACATAATTATTCTTGAGTCATAATAAGTCCTATTTCTTATTGTTTATTTCATGAATAAAAGCCGTTTTTAATAAAAAAAAATATAATAAGGTCAGTAATATTAGCCTCCTTAAGAAATATTTACAGTATATTTTTGATTTACACAACAAATCAGTTACAAAATAATTTGACTAATTATTTTAACTTTCGTAGTGAACTGATTAAAGGGGTGGTCCAGAATGTAATTTTAAGGCTTGGTTGTGTAAATAAGATGCAAAGCAATGTGCGCTCATGTTTCACTTGAAGGAAATCATGTTATTTTTTCATATATCTCACTTTGATTATACACAGCTACTCAGCTAACATGAAAACGACTGTCATATTGCCTAGTTCCTCTAAAAGGCCCACCCTCAAGTGACTCTGATTGGTCATCATCATAATGTGCTGTGATTCGCCGATCGGCTCCACGTCACGCCCACGTTGTGTGTAAACAGTCAGTCAGTTAACACGTGTCTGTAACGAGTGAAAATGGGATGTGGCTCCTTTAAATGTGTTTCTGTGCCATTTAGTGTGTTTATGTGTGTGCGTGTATATACTATGAAGTGTCTGTAACATGAGAAGTGCATGTGCGCGGGATATTTATTGTTCTTTTTCTCTCATGCTCGGATTAAGTTATTTTCTGTGGTGACAGATTAAATCACAAGATGTGAGATGAGACCCGTGTGAGCCTGGATTGATTTGTTTTTGCTGTTACACTCCAGTTGGGAGAGCATTGCTGTATTTTTTATTTTTTTTAATCAATGTGTTACAGGATGTCTTTCACGCATATCCGGAATATGCCTGTGTAAGTAACATGATTCGTTCACATATCTTTTGCGACTTTATTGTCTTGAGTTGAACGCATGGAAAAGCTGCCTGAAGACAATCAGTGCAGTCGTGCACACACATAAGAGACACACTGCCATCTCACACAGAGAGACGCAGGTGCTGGCCAAGAGTGCGTGTATGTATGTTTGTGTATGTGTGTGTGTTTACAGCCGTTTGACTGATAAGTATGGATTTGTAGCTAAGTCGTTAGCGATGAATATAATTTCCCGTTATTTACATTTATGCTAAAACACACCGTTAAGGCTAGACGCTGTACATGTCATGATCAATTTTAACAAATAAAAACACTTACAGGTCATGACTCAGAGTTCACAGCGTCTCCTTGCTCCATCTTTGAGGAGATTTTAGCCGAATCCAGCACTGAACTGGGAGAGATTCTGGAAGCTGCGTTTTGTCAAATCATGCTTGCTGTGTATTTTATAGTTCTCTGGAATATAATTAATATTGAACTGTAAGCACTTCTGTGCTTCTGTCGTGTCATTTGGAAGCCCAACAACAGAAACAGAGAAGTTCTGTGGAAACAGCAGGATGGCATTTCTCCCTCTGCAATGCAGTAACGTTACAGCGCCTCTGGCAATGGCCATTACCTGTGCAGTGTGGGACGCGCAATAATGAACTTTTGTGATCTCACAGTATTTTTTGGAAGTATTTTTTGTAGTCCCCAAAATTCGTTCATTGTAGGCTTTGCTAAGCTAACTCTGTAAAAATCAAGGTCTCCCTTTGCATTGAACTTTGAGCATTTTACATTCAGAGATGCTGTTTATGTTCGCACAGCTACATTACACATCAACTAAAGTTTAAAATATGAGATCATAGTGGACCACCCCTTTAAGTCTAAATTACACTTCAATCTGAATAAAAGACTATAAAATACTTAAAGGGACTTTGTCTGAATACTGTCTTGCAAAATAACTAGTAAAATGTTCTGCACTGACTGTCAGCATAAAAAAGTAAAGTTAAATATTAGAAACGAGTCAGTTAAACTATTAAATTTAAAAATGTGTTGTAAATAAATCATGTGTTCAAGACGGAAATCAAAAATGAATAAAGTCAAAACTAAACGAGTTGAATATGACTTACATGAGCGTGACTGAAAACTACATTTGATCAATGTGTTACATCTGTTCTACATGTGTCATTAAATTTGACATGTTACCCCCTTAACATTACACGCACTTTTGTGAAGACAGTTGCTGTGTAAGAATCCTTGCTTGTAAAATATGCTTTAGAATGCTTAGTTTAAGCAAATTGGATGAACGTGATCACACATGTTGATCTGTAGAGTGTCGCTCTCGCTCACCGAAAACCACTGGTTCCAGGCTAAATGCTCTGTACTCTGCACGTTGCGTGCGTCTGTTCCCTAGCGACAATAACAATTGCTTGATATCGCTTGTCCGTATTCCTCAAAGTTGTTTAGAATTAAATGTTTAGTGATGCTGTGACACAACGCCTATATGTGCCTTTTTTCATGCACCCCTCACGTTCATGTTGCAGCACCGAAATTAAGCACCGAAATTCATATGCTGATTTAATACCGATACATACCAGTTACCAAGGTAGCGGTGCTAAAATGGCACCGGGTTTCGGTAACCAACCCTAATACACACTGATCACGTCTACAGTTTATCTCCAGTGTGAATCCTCTGATGTGCTTTCAGGGTTCCTGAGTGAGCAAACCTCTTACTGCAGTGTGAACACTTGTACAGTTTCTCTCCAGTGTGAATCCTCTCATGTGTTTTCAGGGTTCCTGAGTGAGTAAACCTCTTACTGCACTGTGAACACTTGTACGGTTTTTCTCCAGTGTGTATCCTCTTGTGCCGTTTCAATTCTGCAGCTGTAATAAAAGTCTTCTCACACTCCAAGCACATATACTCTCTCACACCAGTGTGAATCTTCATGTGTTTTTTAAGGTATGATTGGCTAAAACTCTTCCCACACTGAGTGCATTTGAATGGCTTCTCTCCAGTGTGGATCATGAGGTGTTGATTAAGGTGTGATGAGTGGATGAAACTCTTCCCACACTGAGTGCATGTGAAAGGTTTCTCTCCAGTGTGGATCCTCATGTGTACATTAAGGCATGATGATTGGATGAAACTCTTCCCACACTCAGTGCAAGTGAATGGTTTTTCTCCGGTGTGGATCTTCATGTGTGTATAAAGCGATGATGATTTACTGAAACTGTTCCCACACTCAGTGCATGTGAATGGTTTCTCTCCAGTGTGGATCCTCATGTGTAGATTAAGGGATGATGATTGGCTGAAACTCTTCCTACACTCAGTGCAAGTGAATGGTTTTTCTCCAGTGTGGATCCTCATGTGTCTATAAAGCGACGATGATTTGCTAAAACTCTTCCCACACTGAGTGCAAGGGAATGGTTTCTCTCCAGTGTGGATCATCATGTGTTCATTAAGGTGTGATGAGCAGTTAAAACTCTTCCCACACTGAGTGCATCTGAATGGTTTCTCTCCAGTGTGGATCCTGATGTGTTGATTAAGGTGTGATGAGCAGTTAAAACTCTTCCCACACTGAGTGCAAGTAAATGTTTTTTTACCGGTGTGGATCTTCTTGTGTCTATAAAGTGATGATTTGCTGAAACTTTTCCCATATTGATAGCATGAGAATGGTTTCTCTCCAGTGTGGATCCTCATGTGAGTCTTTAGTTTGCTTTTGCTTGCCAAACTCTTTCCACACTGAGTGCAGGTTAAACAACTCTTGTCTCTCACTTTTAACAGACCATCAGTCTCTAAATGAGTTTTGTCCTCAATTTTGACATGATGTTCCTCCTCTTTACTCTCATCGTAATCTTTAATTAGGTCTGAAATAAAAATAAGTTTACTTTTTAGTAAATCATTAAAACTCTCAGTGAAAAGGCACTTAAAAAAATTCCCATTAGAACAACTTTAATTTATCACACCAACTTCAAGTTCTCTAGCCACACCCAGACCTGATTACTACCACACACGTTCACAATCAAGAAATCACCTAAATAGGACCAGTCTGACAAAGTGAAGTAGACCAAAAGAGCTTCAAAAGCTAGACATCATGCCAAAATCGAAAGACCTTTAAACACAAATGAGAAAGAAAATACTTATGTCACTAGTTAAAAAAAGAGTGAAGGGCTTTTCCCACAGCTGGTGGAGGAGACGAGAGTACGGTTGGAGTTCACTGTAGTGCATACATTTGTTTTTACTGTAAAATCCTCACCGCATGCGCAGATTTAGGAGACATTTATGCAGAATGCATCTTTGCACCTAAAAGCGCCAAACGCAGCACTCAGGAACAGATTAAAACAGTTGTTATGTGAACTTGAAGTAAAAAAGCCTGCAATGCTTGCCCCGCCTTTGTGCTCTATTTATTGGCTCACTGCTCTACAACTGAATGCAAATGATTGGTTAATATCAGCTGTCAGTCACTCAGTGAATGCCTTCTGCCTTCAGATGATGGGAGCTACAGCTGCGAAAATGTGAGGCACTGAAGATGAGAGAATGAAAATAACAGACAGGTTTACCTTAAGTTATTAATAATGGCGCATCTTATTAGTAATCATGTGCTGAATGTTAATCCACCATTTACACTTTAACAAGAGTGGATAAAAGACTTCTAGTGGCTTTAAGTCCGCTGGTAACCGTGTTTGGCACTGAATCTACACATTTAAGCGCGAGAGGTATTGTATAACCCTTCATTTAATCCTCACGATGCTGTCAGCCATGCAAGCAGCAGCTATAAGTAACATTTAACACAGCTCATAAAAAGACTGTTATTGCTATTAAGATGACATGCAAATAATAAGTTATATATCAATATAAATGTGGGGCGGGGCGATGGATCGTGATGCAGGCCCAGCATCGTGAAGTTTGTCGGCCATCGGCAATGGCATCTAAAAAATTAATACAATTGATCAGCTACACTCAACATCATCTTCTAAAGAGCTTCTTAAAAAAATACTTATTCTGCAAGCGGAATGACTCATTGAGGATCTCCACATAAGATCACGCCAGATTCATTATGAACATGGTGAACGAGCTGGCAGGTTATTGTGTTACCAACTGAAACAATCCTCAGCAGCTGGCGTTATAGTAGCAGTTAGTAAGGATGATGGCAGTATTATTACTGATTAACAGGGTATTAGTGATCAATTTAAAAACTTCTATAAAACTCTTTACAGCTCTGAGGTAAAGGAAATTGAACGCATTGAGAGCTTTTTTAATTATTAAGAATTACCATCCCTCTGTGATTTAGATCAGTTGACAAAAGAAGGAATTTTAACACCTTCTAAAATTAAAAATACAAAAAAAAAAAAAAAATCAGAAAAGTACCAGGCCCTGATGCCGTCCCGGCTGAGTTTTATAAGAAGTTTTGTGCCAAGTTAACACCCCTGTTGTGCAAGGTATTTGCTAAAGCTCTTGTATCGGAATCACTCCCCCCTTCATGACATCGGCTGTTATAACAGTACTTCTTCAAAAGAGTAAGGATCCACTTAAATGTGAACCTTATCGTCCGATCAGCTCACTCTGCTGTATAAAATCCTGCCAAAAGTGCTGGCAATCAGAGTGGAGTCAGTCATGAGAAATATAATTCACCCAGATCAAACTGGTTTTATTGTTGGGAGACAGTTATCTTACACCCTTTGTTGCATATTTAATATTATTTATTTACCTGAAATAATACCAATCCAAAGGACTTAATTTCTTTAGATGCCCATAAGGCATTTGAAAGAATTGAGTATATCTATTCATTTACAGTGCTTAAAAATTTGGTTTTGACCCTGGACCAAATGGCTTGTTTCCACTGACTGGTACAGTATGGTACAGTTCGGGTCGGTACGGGTCACCTTTACCAGGCTTGCGTTTCCACTACCAAGGGTACCCTTTTAGTGGGCGTGGTGTATGACAAAGTTTCAGTCGACGTCATTTTCGCTCGAGAAAATGTCTACAATAAAGCTGCACAGGTCGTTCACATATCATATGAAAAGCACTTCTCACAAAACAGATGCTTTACACACATAAATACTTGTGTATAAATGTTTATTACTAACTTTTCTATGAACATTAGTTGATTATAACTGCAGATCAATGACGGTGCGAAATAGCCTACTGTAACGTCTGTAATTATATAAAGTAAATAAATAAATGAAGATATATATGAACACATACAGACCCTTATAGTCTCTGATATGTTACCAACTACAGAAGAACTACACAAAGCAGACATTTCGTCCTTAATTAAGTTCAAAACAACACAAAGTATAGCCAGGGCCGGAGCAAGCTGAACTGCCGCCCTCAACCCTAATGTGAAAATGAAAGTGACCGGTTATGAAAATGAAGTGAGGTGTCGCAGACCTCTTAATCAGCACACTATGCGCGGATATAACTGAGGACGCGCGGGTGCTGAAGGAGGGAGGGAGGTGTCGCGGACACTGCGCTCTCTATTCTGCCGCCCTATGCGCGGTTGTAACTAAGGACGTGCGGGTGTAGCGGACCTCAATTCTGCCGCCCTATGCACGGATATAACTGAGGACACACGGGTGCTGATGGAGGTGTCGCTGAGACCGCCCTCTCTATTCTGTCGTCTATGGGCGAATATATCTGAGGACGCGGGTGGTGAGGGAGGTGTCGCAGACATAACTGAGGACGCGGGTGGTAAGGGAGGTGTCGCGGATGCCGCCCTCTCTATACTGCCGCCCTAGGTCGCCTCTATGGACGCGCCGGCCCTGAGTATAGCCTCCAGTCAGTGAAAACCTCTCATCTGTGTCTGTAATATTCAGTAGCACATGTAGCCTCTGTTAGAGAGTCATTCCATCATTCCCAGTTCATATTAGTCTAAAAGGTGATAATAAAGATTAAGACAAGGCAGTTTGTTCACGTTTGCTGAAGAAATAACGTGCTCCTTGGCTTCGCCTTTTTTCCGCGCTCCACTCCCGCATTTGTCCTTTTCTTTCTGATTGTGTCACAGAATGTGTCCCGCGTTTGTCAGCTTCTCAAAGGACCGGGTTTCCAAAGCTTGTCAATAATCAAGCGCATATATTATTATCAGCTCAAGAAGTTTGTTATTTCAGATAGAGACGAGCGGCGAGCACAAGGAAGAATGCGAAACCACTCAGGCTTCAGACCGGCTCGTAAAAAACTACGCGGCACAGGGTAAATCCGCTCTTCTCCATGACTTTGTGGCTGTTTATCTAGATGACGACAGGGTTTGTTTGATCCCGGATCGACCATGGCTACATATGTATATAATTCCGCTGTAATCTCTCGCTGTGTATTTTAAACATGGCGGGTCCTTTGTTTGCATTCTGGCTTGTTGTGTCTACGAATGACGTATCTCTGTAAACCAATAGCGTTCAGCTGCGCGTCTAGCTCTGCCTTTTAGGGCCTACTCACACTATGCCATCCGTACCGTGCCCAGGCCCCTTTCCCGGATCGTTTGAGAAGTGTGAGTGCGCTGAATCAGGCTCAAGCACGGTTCACTTGGCTGGCCCTGGCCCGGTTGGAAGAGGTGGGCCTGAGCGCGGTTCACTTGGGCTTTGGGTGTGAGTACAAAACGCGCCAAAGCCCAAAACTGAAAGCAAGACGTGACTTTTAAGGGACTGTTTCATATGGATTTATTAATCATTCTTACTGTTCTGTAAACGCAAACTGCCGTAGTTTATTAAAGACACAAACTCCTCACAGCACGACAGCTGCGCGGCTTCAGCAGACCTCCTCATACCTGCAGCACGAGAGCTTTATGATTGTTTATGAGCGCCAAAAGTGGCGGATCTGTTCGGCGAAATATCTGACTGCGTGTCACCGCATCCCTAAGGACTGTTTGGCGAAATATTTGACTGCATGTCACTGCATATCAAACGACTGAAACGATATAACTAGAGAAATCTCCACTGTGCTGCTGAGAGAGCGCTTCTCACTGAACAGCGCAGCAGTGATGACGTAAGCGTGCCGAGGCCCGTTTGTGGTGTGAGTGCGGGCCGTCGGGGCAGACAGGATGGGGGACAAGCGTGCTTTGGCCCGGTTCGAGGCAACTTTACCTAGTGTGAGTACGGCCTTAGTGTTTGGGACCCTTTCAAAAGGGTGCCAAAAAAGTGGTACGGTACGGTTTGGTTCGGTACGCCTTTTAACAGTGGAAGCGGCCATAAAAGCGTACCAAACCGAACCACTTAGTGGAAACGGTCCATAAGAGCTTGATTAACATGGTAAACAATATAGAGACTTCTAAATGAATGAATGTGCGAATATAAAACCAACTTTACCTCTATATGACTGAGTTGGTGTTTGAGAATGAAAACCAACCTGTTTGTTCCTGCGTATCTTCCTGTTTGACTGTGAATGTTTCTTCAATCTTCACATCTTCACTCTCCTCTTTAATAAACGCCATCTTTATAACAGTGTGGAGATCAGTCGCTTCAGCAGGATTTTTTTTCTCTGTGTTTGGACACTTTATCCTGCTTAAAATTAACAAAACAATAAAAATGTCCTGTTTAAATAAGTAAAAAAAATTAACAGAAATAAAATAACTTCTCTTCAACACTTGCTTCAACAGTTACAAAAACGAAATCAGGTATGTCCAAGCATAGAGGTAAAGTTGGTTTTATATTCGCACAATCAGACTTTTCTCTTAATAATATAACTTCATGAAAGTATTATTTGCAAACTCTAAACAGTGAAATCATATTAGCAGCCAATAACTATCAAAGTACAAAATTGTTC